CTAATGCATAATGTAATATAAACCTGTATGGATTTATATATGTGTATTAGGGGTGGGACGGTTCACAAAATCCACGGTTCGGTTCGTTTCACGGTTTTGTGGTCACGGTTTTCGGTTCGGTTCGGTATATGGTGATTGTTAGGAAAATCTATTATGTCTTGTATAGTCAGGTTAAAACTAGGGATGGGGATCGTTAATATTTATTGATATCGATACTTTTATCGATACTCCTTATCGATCCGAGTCTTTATCGATACCACCATCGATAATTTTCTGTTATTTGGTGGAAAGACGATGCGACAATATTTAACAAATAAATAATTGTATTTTAAATTAAATGTAATTTTTAATAAATGTTGGCATCAGTAGTTTAATTATATATTCTAAAATAAATAGAGCAATATACAACTGTATTACTCATGTTTCTCGCCAAAAACTCAATTTCCCTTTTCTTTACGTTACACTTGAACGCATCATGATAACCTAATTGTCGTTTTACTGAGCCAATCTGAACACATCATCACGCAGCACGTCTCAAACTTTATTTACTTTTCAAGCTAACTAGCTTGTATGCTGTCGATTACAACACAGATTTCACAATTACTATTGTAATAATAAAAAAACGACCAGACTCGATAGTGGTATCGATAAGCCCAAACGTTATTGATTTTCGGGTTTTGAAAAAAGTGGAACCGGGTCCTTGATAGAACCGGGTTTCGATCCCCATCCCTAGTTAAAACTGAAAGAAAAAAGCTTCTTCTTGTTTACTACTGGTGGCTGGCTTTGGGCGCAGTAGCGCCCCCTTCTGCTCTGGAGTGTAAACGCTTCCCTCTGAGAAAAAGGAGCAGCAGGAACCCAACCAACACACGCCAACCCAACCGAGACAGAACCCAACGGTTCAGACGGTTTTCAGAAACCGTCCCATCCCTAATGTGTATGTATATATATGTGTGTATGTACATGTATGTATATATACATATATATATAATTTTTTTTCCTTCTTCTACTTTTCTATTTTATTATTTCTATTTATTGATTATTTCTATTTATTTCTCCCTAAAGAGTGAGGGTGTGTATATGTGTTCTGGGTTGGGGTTGCTGGGTGTTGTTTTGGGGTGTTTACATACAGATGTGACACTAAATGTGTCATCTTTATACTTTGTACTCTGTATGTTCTTGTTTTTAAAAAATGTTCAACAAATATAGCTGGGGAAAAAAATGTAGAGATCCTGATAAACCACAAGTGTGTTTTATATAGTAAATGATCAAAATGAAAATGTGTAGTTTTAATGACATCTTGCATTATATTGTTGTTGTTTTTTTCAATTTTACATATATGGCCTCAAACTGTAATGTTTCCTGTGCTTAAACACATGTTGTGGTTTGGAACGTACTCCTCTCCTCCTCAGAAACAATAAAATCCGAGGGGGAAAAAAGCATGAAAACAAAGAGCACAGCTCAGGCATGATAATAACCCCAAAGCTGCAATTATCATATTGACCTCAGGGTCCCGGAGCTCCAGGCTTTTCCCTAAACAGGCGCACTTTTGGGCCTGTAAAACCTCGGCACTCTGCATGAGAAAGAAAACTCCAAAGTGTGTCGAGCGGGGAAAATCTGAGCTGAATCTTTAAAAGTGAATAACCGTGAATCGTTCAGTTTACGACAATGAAAACCTTCCTGGTAATTTTCTGTGAGAGGAATTCAGGCACTCAGGAGGAAACGATTAAGCCCAGAGACGGTGTGAGTGTTAGGGTTGTCAAAAGTATAAAAAAAAAAGTATGGATACTATACTTATTTTCAAAAGTATTGATACCCCCCCTCTGATTTATTTATTTACGTTGTTTATGATCATTAACGTGACGTTAACCTTGAATTGCTAGCTACGGCTTATGGCTAATAATAACACACCAACATTAATCAACATATCCAACTCCGCCCACATCCAAGTCGGACATTTTGATTAGGTCACCAATAGGAAGATCCCAGGCAAGAAAATCCTAATTGCTTCATGGCAATATAGACATTAATTTAAAAATAGTGAAATTAATCTTTCAAACACTGAATTAAACTCTATCCATAATATTATCTTAAAATAGTGCATGTTAAATAGGTTTGTACAATAAGTCCAAACAACTTTAACCAAAAAATATTTATTTCTCACAATTATGAAGGGTGGAGGGTTAGGGTCAGGATTAGGGTCAGGGTCAGGGTTAGGGTTAGGGTCAGGGTCAGGGTTAGGGTTAGGGTTAGGGTTAGGGTTAGGGTTAGGGTTAGGGTCAGGGTTAGGGTCATTAATGTGGGCCACCATAACATCAGTAACAGGTC